TGACACCCCTGCCTAAGCAGATCTGAACCAGCTGCGATGATTGATACTGGCTTTTAAGGTAACTAAAAAGAGAAGAGAGTTGTGTAGGACATACAATACAGTGCTGTTGCCCTCAGAAGCATACAATCCCATTATTCAACTTGAAATAAGATACAACTGTCAATCCAGTTGTATATGAAAGTAAGTACCATAGTCTTCAGGTAAAACACTTGGGCCAATTCCAGAAACAAGAATGCAAAGAAAGCTGATCCATCACCCGTTATTCTCTACTATATCAGTAATTAGATTGATATAGATACAGCTATTTATTTAATTTAGGTATTTTTGTGTGTGCAGATTAAACAAAAGTTATTACCGTACAAATATTGGATTATTTAGCAACACAAATATGTATTTAAATTGCTTTCAGGACATTTAGAATTAAAACTCAAATCTATCATATGCAAGAGCATAATAAATTATTTAAAAATAATAAAACAAGCAACTTCAAAAGATTAATGTACATTGAGAGGCCCCAGTCATGAAACTCACTGTATGACTTTGGCCCAGTCTCTGTTTCTTGATCTAACCTACCTCATGCAGCATCACAGTAAGGATAAATCAGGTGCACCATTTATGTTAGTTTGGGCTCGTGGAAAGCAGGAAGAATATAACTAAATAAAGAAATAAAGGAAAAGAAAACTCATAACTTAAGAGTCTTAACAAACACTATAAATCTGAACCAATAATTATTTTGCAGGAGAATATCATGGTTGCTGATTTCATTGCCAGAATATATGAGTCATTCTTGCCCAGGCAAACGGCTTTCTCCTGATGGTAAATATTTTGTAGCCTTTTATTTCAAGTGTCATAAGCATAACATGAAGCATCTGTGGTGTACAGTTCAGGTTCATCTGCTATCGCAGTATGTGTCTGTTATTAGAATGTTGGCTCTTCATCCATTTCTAATTTCTACCCATGGGATTTTACGCCATCGAAGGAGAAGAATAGTTTACCATTGGCTTCTCCCACACAGAATGCTTGAATTGATGCCTTTGCCATTGACATTAAAGTGACCTTCTGCCTCCAGCATTTTTCTGTATTGCTGCTGCTCAATATGGGCTTGCTTTACTGAGAGAATGTCCTGAGTGAGGGTGACTCTTCTGGGAATATACTGTGTATACTCTTGACATATTGTATGTTCTGTCTTAGCTCATCCTTCCTGGGAACAAATCCCTTGCCACAAGGAGGCAATACAGCAATGAGTATGTGTTTGTGTTTAAAGTTTGTGTGTGTGTGCGTGCGCACGCACACACATGCTCAATAGGGGTACAAAGAGTCAATGCTGACCTGATGACATATAATCAAGCAATCTCTATCCTTTTTTAAACTGAACACTTCTCAATCTATTACTCAGGTACAGAATATTAGGGAATTAAACGAAAATGCCTCTCTTTCTTGGAATACAGGGCCACACTTAATATATTTGGGAAGAGCAAGGGCTGCAGGTATGATATAAGTGGAGTTCTGTCCTGCACATTGGCAGGACCAGATTTTCCATCCTATTTTGGTGGAAGTGTTTGTTTTAAAGCTATGCAAGTCTTTGTGGCTTCTATAGATTCCATGTGTTTCCAACCTCAGAAAAGTATTGTTGGTAGAACTATCCTTCTGGGTTCACTTCCAAGTGGGAAAAAAGACACTGGAAACATGGAGGCTGTTTGGAAAGATGGTTTAATGGTGGACAGCAGGACCACGTGGCTTGAAGCTCCAAAGTGAAAAGGATGATCACATGCTTCAAGGTGAGAAGAGAAGGTCAAGAAGAGCTGAGAGCGCCTGGGTTTTATAACCTTTGCTGGGATTTGAATTGGAGCTTTTATTCTGATTGATTGTCAGACTCCCATGGGGCCATACAGGGGCAACTCTGTAGGCTGTCCTGAGTTCCAGGCTTGGTTGAGCCTTGCTGGATGATGATACACTGAAAAGGCTTTGCTATAGTTTTACCTGGAGATCTTTGTTATGTGAAGTATTCTGGCCCAGGCCTTAATGGCCCACTCGTTAACAAAGGTGGGGGTGAGCTTCGGCTTCTGAGGTGAGTTTCTGCTTCTGAGTTTCTACTCTTTTTAGAGGAAATATTCTGCCTTTTTAATATTTCCCAGGATATTTCATTTTTCAAGGAGAGGGGTGGGTGCTAACTTCCTACAGTATGCCATTGATTTTTTTTAAAAAAAATCTGCTCCAATGTAGATGTCTATGGAGATTCTCAATCATCCAGGTCATGGCTGTCCCAAAGGTACTTTTCAAAAGACAACTGGATTTTCTTGGGTTTTTTCCTTGGAACGTTTTACTTCTCATCCAAGACACTTCTAGTATCTGTGAAATCTAATACAGCATGGAAGTTGACTGGAAGACTGAAATCTAATCATTACCCTCAGGGCACCAATTTGTTGTTGACTGAGAAAAATATGTGGGAACTTGAGCTTTTGAGTGAAAAGTGGTATATAAATCAATCAAATAAATAAATCCTGTCTCTTTGTCTCCAGCACTGAGAAACCTAAAATATACTGTTCATCTCTACTGCAAGTTAATAGACAGCAATATCATTACAGTTTTGTTATGGAACTGCAGCTAGCCATCAAGTTCATTTTTCTATATTTATGAAGTTTATATATTTTATTTTATTTTGTCAAACATGTACAAGATAACAAGTATAGGTATGAACATAAACATGAACAAAAAGAAAAGTAAATACATTTAGAAAATAAATACAGATAAATGGGGACAGTAAGACAGGGACGGTAAGCATACTGGTGCGCTTATGCATGCCCCCTTTATGGATATTCTTTATATTTTGCTTTTCTCCAGCACATGGCACTTAAGGTGGCTAATAATAATTTTAGAACAATACATTATACTAAAACATAATTGAAATATATAATAAAATAACTGTAAAACGACTTCAAAAAATCTTGCAGCATTTTAATTTTTAAATAGTATAGTTCTCTGCTTTAATTTGAAAATTAAAGGTTGTGGTTTAGGCCATTCTAAGACTGATTGCTGATGAAATGTTGCTCAAAATTAACTTCATGACAGTTTTCATAAAGTCAGATTTGCATCTCAGTTTGATGCATTTGTGTTGTTCTTAATGTGGACTTTTAAACATAGATCTTGTCCTATAAATATCTATGTAAAGATCATTCTATACAAAATACATTATGTCAAAAACACAGTATTCTTAGTAAAAGACTAAGAGCCCCATATGTATACCAAGATTACTCCTCTTACTTCTCTAAAACAGAATTCTATGACAAAAAAAATTCTTGAGGTTAGTTCTTTGCATTCCTTTCAGAGCCTCTGGTTGAAAAGCAGTATGACACAGTGTTGTCCTGATTCTGTAAAAAATGTGTAAATCAAGATGGATGCATGGATCATGCTTCAAAAAGCTAAACAAGATTGAATTTGTTGGAACATAGATGGGAGACCACCAGAACATGCCACGATGCCAGATAAGATGCTAGCTGGGAAATTTAGGAAGTCCACTCATCTTAAAGTGGTTGATATTGAGAAGTGCTAGTGTAGGTTATTGCAGGTCCCTTGCCCAATGTGCATGCCTTCTCTTTTGGGCACTGAAACCTGAGTGGTACAGAGAAGAGCAGCAAAGATGATTAGGGGACTGGAAGCTAAACCGTAGGATAAACAGTTGCAGGAACTGGGTATGTCGAGTCTCGCAAAGAGAAGAATTAGTGATGACATGACAACAGCCTTCCAGTATTTGAGGAACTGTCTCAGAGAAGAGGGGAGCAACATATTCTCCAAAGCACCTGAGGGTAAGACAAGAAGCAATGAGGGAAAACTTGTTAAAGAGAGATCCAAACTGAAACTAAAGGAGAAATTTCTTGAAAGTGTGTGGAAAAACTTGCCTTTTGGACCTGAGGGTGTTCCATCACTGGAGGTTTTAAAGAAAAGATTAGACAAGCATTTGTCCGGGATGGAATAAGGTCTTCTGCTCTGGGCATGGGTTTGGAGTAGAAGACCTCTAAGGTCCCTTCCAGCCATGTTATTCTGAAAAGACTCTGATATCCTTCCTGTTTTCAAAATGTGATTCTCTACAAGCAGAAAAAAGTATTATCAACATTTGACATAAAGAAGGTGCCATCTAGTGGAGAAATTTAGTACATTGTTCTGGGTCACCCTGAAATATTTGAAACACTTAACTGACCTTGAATAAGGCATTTATTTTCAATTAATTTATGAAATTCCACTACCCCACCCCCTTTCTCAGATCTGCATTCATTTTGCAGCCCCAGTTTCAGCATGTCTTTTATTGCCCGCTAAATATTATGTTACTACTACCATGTAAGCCTTAATGTGAGCATCTGGGGCAGTGCATGTTTCTGAGGGAGATATTTATTGACAGAATGTAGCTCACCAACCAGAGCTTTCTTTCTAGAAAGGGGTATTTCGATCTGCTTGATGGCAGGAAAAATGAATAAGGTCAATTGAAGGTGCATTAAGGAGAGAGGGCGGTCTGAATGATCCATTTGATCGCCGAGATCAGAGGGTGTTACGCAATGCCCAACACCAGCAACCTTTTACAGCCCAGAAACAGCACTAGAAGAGGAAACGGCCTCATTCAATTAAGAGAAACGAGAAAGAGAAATGTCTCTACAGATCTGTAGGGGATACCTAGTTGAAGAGATTAAATTGCTATCACATGTATCTTTAGCCCTTTCGAACTTGCTTGCGAGCAGAGGCACAATATGAAAAGTGCAGGATGAGGTATCCATCTGATGCTTCAATTACTTGAAACATAGAGTGTCGTTAGCGAAATTTTATGGCATAGTATTGCTTTGCTTTACATCAAACAGTGGCAGAACTGATCCATGATTAGACTAGCCGGGGAGCCTTCACGAGATTTCCCTTCGGCAAGTTTCCTCCTCCACTGCAGGGTTATCCTGCATGCAACTGGGCGCCCTTTCGAGAAGCGGAACCTTGTTGCTTCCGGCCTCCGAATCCAGGGGAATGAAATTTCTGCTGGATCGCGGCACCGGTAAAGAGATGATCTCGCTCCGAGGCTAAAAAGGTAGCCATGGCCTGGATGCGAAGGTTGCGGAAGAACAAATCGCTGCAGTATGGAGTCCCGATGATGGTGAGCGGTCGGTGATAGGACGGAAGGCAGCTAATTTGGGGGAGGGGGGGACTGCTTGGAGGGGGGGGGAGGAGCTAGAAAGTGGTTGCACTTTGCAGGTTAGCAGACCATAGAGGAGACTGTATTCTCGGGAGTCGCGGTTCGAGGGCTGCTCCCATGCGTTCTTTGGGAGGAACAAGTGAGAAATTCTATTGGCTAAAATCCTATTAAAGGCTCACCATTTTCCTCGAGGCTCGCTCGTCGTTGGATGCTACCCCTGTCAGTCTGAGAAAGGGGGCGTGCGTTTACCGATTTGAAGTGGAAACATTGGAAACATTCCTCATTCTGAGCAGGGTATCGCTATGTGTATTGTGTTCTTTCCTCTCTATACGTATGGATGGTTTATACCAGTAGTCATTCCACAGCTCTCCATAGAGATTAGACTACACGTCCCATTATTCACTTGGCTATCTGGATGAGGACAACAAGTATTGGACAACACTTGGTTGAGGGCAACTTGTATTTGTAAAATGACTTGCATAAATTAGCCCTTTATGTGCCATGAAGTCAGCGTTGATTCTTTGTAGAGACCATATATTTTAGTGATGAGTTTCCCCTAACCTGGTGTTTTCAGATCTTCCTACAGAACATGCATTACTACTACAATTTGAGTCCTTGTTGGTCATCCTTCCACCTTTCCCTGAGACAGCTACGTTTTCACATAATGTGTCCAAAATATGATAACTTTGGCCTAATCATTTGTGCCTCAAATGAGAACTCTGGCTTGATTTCCCCCCCCCCCCCCCGCCCCCAAATATTCATTTGTCGGTTTGTTTCTCAAAATATTCAGTGTCTTCCTTTTCTTTAATTTCAAGTGTTGGTTAATTCTTTCACTGCTATAGAATGTCACAGGGAAAATCGTTGCCTGCCCCATTCTGAAGTTTAATTGCCGAATCTGAGCCTGAAACCCACCATGCACAATAACTTGTTCTGTGTGGTGATTGCAAATAGTATATAGTACCTATTCTCCTTTACCATTTCAAAAAAGATTCACTTCTTCAGAATTAGAGTTTTTCTCACCTACTTCCTGGTATGCTTCCATTTCAATGCCAGTTTCTCACCCAGTTCACTAGAGAGCTATCTACTGATCTATATAAGAAGATAAATGTGTCCTACAATGTCACAATACAAATGTCACCCCTTCCATGTAAGATCACCACTCATAGTTTGCCATCATCATGAAACTGCCTGTTGTTTTGAGAACTAATATTTTAAGAATACCCTCTCTTTTTATGATAAAACTCTCTAGATCTAGTCCATCCATCTTGAAGAACCTGCAATTATGCATCATTTTTTGTTATGAGTTGATATATGCTGCCACTATCTTTTTTTCTTTAGAGGAGAAATGCTAAAACCAAAAAAGAAAAGAAAATCTGTAATTGAGAAAAACAAACATACCTCTCTGTATCTGGGAGTCAATCTTGCAAACTCTAGGTCTTCTGGGACACTTTGCCAGATTATAACTGTTCTGCTTAAGAAACAAATTGGCACAAAGATATCTGGTTAAAATAATATTTGGAACACACAACAGTTATGGAAAAAATAATGGGATTTAACTTGGAGAATATGATTAGATTTTAAGGGAGAAAAAGGAACAAAGGACAGACCCATTAAAAATGATGAGGGAGGGGGTGGAACTGCGGGAAACTGCATACAAAATAAAACCAAATTGTAATTGTATCTACTCACTGGATCTAGAAATCTGGGGGTATTAAGATTGCTTCTGAGTTCTGGAATAATTCACCCTACAACTTGGGAGTACAATTCCTTTATATTCTTCCTCACGTCAGTTGCTACTCTGAGGAAATTCAAAATAACAAAATGTATAGCATATATTTTTGTTAGTTACCTCCTACCTTCCTTTAAGATCTCAAGTTGGTCTACATGGAGTCACTCTTCACTGAACCTTAGGTGGACATATCTTGCTCCTCTTGTAAGAGCTTGCTCTCCTTTCTGGGTTTTCATATCTCCTTGCCATTTCCTTTTTATAATAAGCCCCACACTTGATCTCAAAGACAAAATGAATGATTCCTTTCCTTGTTACAGCTCATCATGCACTTGGCTCTCAAGTACAGTAGGTGGTGCTCCAGTCTATAAAATGCAGTAAGACGAATAGTACAGTCAATTTTGGATTAGGGTTGCAGCACCTGGTGACTCACCCTGTGTGACTTTTGCTTACCTACACTGGGATGGCAAGTTTTCTGATACTGCTATAATAAATTGTTAATCAAGATCAAATTATAAAATTGGACAAATAATCTTGTTTTGAATGGAGTTTAAAAGAACAAGTTTAAGAAACAGAAAAAAGAATCTGACCTGAATACTAAATTGTTCCCTGGTCTGAATGAATTCTGTATCAATCCAATTTTATTGTTTCAACTACTGATTATAAGAAAATATGATTGTACAGACACACAGGCGGCAATAAGTAGACACAGTTTCACTTAGCAACCACTTCATTTAATGACCAAGTTGCTGATTCAGTTTATATTTTGATCATAGGATCGGGGTGGGATTCAAATTTTTTAACAACCGGTTCTGTGGATGTGGCTTAGTTGGTGGGTGTGGCTTGGTGGTCATGTTAATGGCTGGCTTGGTGGTCATGTTAATGGCTGGGCATGGCCAACTCAATATCACTCACATCGAGGCACGTATCTTCTCGCCTGGCCTCTCATGATTGTGGGGATGCTGCAACAGTTGTAAGTGTGAAAAATGGTCATAAGTCACTTTTTTCAGTGCCATTGTAACTTTGAATGGTCACTCCACACAAGCAAAGTACCAGCAAAGGAGGGGGGAAAAAACTCCAGAGAAGTTCCTGAGACAGGAAGTCTAATCCTGCCAAGAATGTAATAAGGGTTAACGGAGAGGCAGTTTCTGTAAGCAACACCAGAATGTTTCCTTCCTGCCTTCCTTACAGGATTAGACCAGTAATTTCTTCTAACAACGGGTTCTCCGAACTACTTAGACTGTTAACAACTGGTTCTAGCGAAGAGGTGCGAACTGGTAGAATCCCACCCCTACATAGGATCCTATCCCGAAATGAAATATGATTGCCTTAAGGAAGTGCTTATGCAAAAGGAAGAAAAATAGAGCTACTTAACAAAAACTTGGCATTGTACAATGAAAGTGGTGAATTCAGCATCTTCTGTCACGACTTCACAGCTCTTAGTCAAATACTCTCACCATTAACCAGTGTTTTGCTTTGTGATTCTTATCACCTCCTACTATTATGTTCATGGGGGTTATAATTAACTAGCTTTGCTGTATGTGGTTTCAGTAACCAATTGAGTGCCTAATGGAAAGAGTTGCAGCATTTACTTCAGAGCTAATGCCTCAATATTGTATTACTATTTTGTTCCTGGCTGATAACTCTTATTCTAAAATGTTTTAACCGAATAACAGTTAGAAGGGACCTTGGAGGTCTTCTAGTCCAACCCCCTGCTCAGGTAGGAAACCCTACATCATTTCAGACATGTGGTTGTCCAATCTCTTCTTTAAAATCTCCAGTGGAGCACCCACAACCGCTGAAAGCAAACTGTTCCACCAACTGATTGTTTTGTCAGGAAAATTCTCCTTAATTCTAGGTTACTTCTCTCCTTGATCAGTTTCTATCTCTTGCTTCTTGTCTAGTGCAATCAAGTTGGTGTTCCTTAGATATATTTTCTGTAGGAGGATTTGTCCCCAGACTGGTCTTTCACATCTTCCAGTGGTACACATATGGTCACCTTTTTTCAATTCATCTTCCCTCAATATATATTCCATATACAAATTGAATAAATAAGGGAAGTATATACAGTCTCACTCCATTACCAACCCTGAACCAGTCTCTTTTGTTATGTTTTGGAATTTCTATATTTCCAGCACATTCCACAGCCTGGTATAATCAATGCAGCCAAGGCCTTCTATAATCAGTGAAGCACATACTGACTTCTCTATGGTATCCTTTGGCTTTCTCAATTCTTTAGTATTGTGTTTTGTTCCTCTGCTATTTCTAAAGCAATTTTTAACATCTGGCATTGTGCTGCGATCTCTGTTCAATAGTCCTAATTAATATTTTGCTTTCACCTGAAATTAAGAATATTGCATGATAAATTTTCAGACTCTGATACATCTCCTTTCTTAGCATTGGTGTGTAGATTAACCTCCAATCTGTTTTGTTCTTCAGTTTTTCTGGCATAGCTTAATTAGAACCTTCATTGGTTCTTTGTCATTTGCTGTATTTTATTTAATTATGAAAAATAAGTGAAATGAATATTTTATTGTAACATGGACACAAATTTTAAAAAAATTGAGCCAGCTTAGTGTGCTGATTAGGTGTTGGACTAGGACTGGTAAGATCCAAGTTCTTATTTATCCTCAGCCATGAAAACTCATTGAATAACCTTGGACCAGTCACCTCCTCTCAACCCCATCTACTTCACAGGGTTGGGGAAAAAAAATAAATGGAATGGTACATACGCTCCCTTGAGTTCAGGGAGGAGATGCTATACATAAAATCTATCAAATAATGCCAAACTGAACCATTTTTTCTACTACAGTTGAAGAAGATAGCATATTCTGTATACAGTATTTTTAAAAAATGCAGTCTGTCCTTTGGAGAAATTTTGCCGGAAGCTATTTTTGACTCCCCACAGTAGAGTTGCTTGTCAGGCAGTTCCAACGGTGTTCACTCTGAACTGGCCAAGCCTGTAATTCAAAATGACTACAGTGTGGTTCAAAAAACCATTTATTCATGCTTGCACTATGGAATACAGCTTGCCTTGTTAAAATTAGATTTGCAAAATGCCTTCTGTATTCCCTCACCAATTTTGAACTACATGTCTTAATCTTGCTTAAGGAACCTCCCCTCTCCCCCACTGAACCTCCTTGTGTGTTTTATTTTGTACATATATTTCCATGCTGGAAATGTTGTAACTGAAAGAGGTTGAGATTGCATGTACTTTCCAGCCACAAGGAATCCT